ATTATAGTTGTATATAGATATTGATTTTGGGGTTAAAGGTAAGGGGTTAGGGATTGGGTGATGACTTGATTTTCTTTTTGAGCATCTATTTAAGAATTTGTATTTATAAATTGGGAAATGAAGGATTAGATCTAGGGATTAGGTTGAACTTTATTTTAAGATCACTTCATTATATAGAAACAGAATTAAGTACATATGAAGTAGCATTGCAAGTAACTTGTATGGAAAAGTGTGATACAAATTAGCCAATTGTATTTATTTTCATCTAAACAAAAACTTATGGTTTAATATTATGTAGATAAAAAAATTAAAAGAGTACAAAAAAAAATATATATAACGAGTATAGTCAATGTGCAACGCATGTCATAAAAAAGATTAGTAACAAGTAAAAATGAGCAATGACATAAAAAATTTAACGGGTATGAATAACGAGTATAGTCAATATGCAACGCACGTCATAAAAAAACTACTACATATAAAAGTATGAATCAGTAGAACATTGGGACCACTGAAAACGCCTATATGGACTTTTAATTTTATTGGTCGATTAAAAATATCATTAAAGATAATTTAATCTCATTCTAATTAGAAAATTTTTAATTTTATTGATTGATTAAAATTATCATTAATGATTTTAATTTTGTCGATTGTTAGTATCGAAACTAGAATCTAAATGCTTTGATTCTTATTTGTGTATATTGGGAGGAAAAGAGAGTAACTAATTAAAAGAAAATAAGAAGCCTTAAAGTTTACATTCCTACACCATTTTTCTCTTTTCTCTCTTGTCTTTTAACCTTAGTTTTTAGTTTGGGATTGCCGCTGTTTATTAGTGGTAGTCCGTACCTCCTACTCTTTATTCTCTCTTTCAGTTTATTTTGCTTTAATAAACTCAGATATGTTTTTCTTATAACAGATCTGCCTTTTTCTGTTTTTGTTATTGTTGGTTTTGTCTCTATATTTGGAGTTTTTTTGTTCCTTATTTGTAAGGGCAGTCCCTTCTTTGTGGGGGTTTATTACTAAATAAAAATTATGATATTTGATTTTATTTGGTTGGAAACTTTAGATCTTGATTTACAAGTGTGGATCTTCGATCAATGAAGTCTCATAGTGCGTCATGTTCCTTCACTAATGCTATTGATGCATAGTGGCGGAAACTCATATGTGTTCGTCATATGTTGCAAATTCTTAGGAAAAATAATCCAGTTATAGAAGATCCAGATGGGTTATTATTTTAAAGTTTAGGAAAACAATCCAGTTATAGAAGATCCAGAGGAATTATTATTTTAATATCCAAATCAATTAACGGACTAGGTGCTGCTATGAAGATTTATATTTTTTTATCAAGATCAACTCTAATTGGAAAGATCTAATATCATATATTTTTTAAAAAATTTTAGTTTCATTATTCAAAAGATTATGAATTCTTTTTCTTTGTTAAAAAGTCAATGAATTTTATTAACTACTAATAGTAAATTTCTATGTATGGTCTATACGAGTATTTATAATTTTTAATATTATTATTAATGAATTGCATTTTCAAAAAATTAAAAGAAAATAAGATAAACTTAGTACACATATTTATGTAATCTTTTCATTCAATGCAGGTAGTCAATATTAAATCATTATAAAACTTAGAAAATAATTCAATTGGGTAAGAGTAAGACACAAAAGAAATTAGAACAAGTAAGCAAATTACTGCAAATTAAGCGTAAATAAAAGGGTGATTACTTCAATTACTTCCTGAAATTTTTTGTAATTAAAAGTGCTTTGAAAGGGTTCTTTTTCCACTTTTTATATTGTTCAAAGTATCTGGTATTACAAAAAATAAATTTTTGCTTAGTTGCTTACCTGTTTGATTTTGGCTCAATGTATTTGCTTCTGTTTATGCAATAAAGGGGTCTGCTATAAAGGGCGTAACTATAGTGAAGAGACCCCAAGTTTAGGTTGGGCCTACTCCTTCGCGATACCCTTTGATACGTATTTGCTTATGTGTTTCTTGTTACTCTCTCTTTTACAAAGCTTGACAAGCTAGCGCCAAGGAGCCATTATTGTAATTTAATAGCCCGAGATTCCATGGAGCTGAATTTGATATTTATGATTATGAGTCCATTTGGAACAAATAAATTTCAATAAATTTTATGAAATTCAAAATATTGTATTTAAAATGTAAAAGCATATTGATTTGAATTCTACGAATTAAATTATATAGAATTTGGTATTCCTAACTCAAGTTCTACTAAAATTGATGAAATTTGTAAATGAATTCCACAAAATTGACTATTAAAATGTTTATTGCCAAATTATCCTCCACTATAAACTCAACTATTTTTACTTTTTTTTTTCCTTTGTGTTTATTTAGAAAATTCCAAACTATAATAAATAATTTTTTTTTGTAATCCAATAATGATGTTAGTTTATATTTTTTTTTCCTTTTTGTTTCTTTTTTTGAAATTTCAAATCAGTAATGACGTTTTTTTTTTAAAGTCTAATAATAACGTTAGTTATTATTACTATGAAACTATAAAAACTTCAACAGTTATTTTCAAATGCAATTAAAAACAATAGTAATATTCTTCTTTTTTTTTTAGTTTTCAAATTAATTACTTAAATCAAAAAAATTTTTTACATCAATTAAAAATAATTATTATGATGAATGTTATTGCTTATATAATTAATTATTTAATTAGCATGGAATATTAATATACTTATTTATATTAAATTTATATTTAGATTTGAATAAAAAAATGACAACTTATTATAATGTACATAATAAATATAATTAGTGTTTGTTATCTATTTTTGTTAAATTATTATGTCAAGGGTATTATAAGAAATGAAATAAAGACAAATATGAATTTTCATTTAAGAATTTAATTTCAAACATAATTTTGTGGAATTAATTGAATTTCTTATTAAAATGTAGTAGCATACCAAAACATGGACCAATTCATTGGCAAATGGATTCTACTTGGAATTCATTTGGCAAATTGCCATTCTACAACCAAATTCATTGTTCCAAACGAGGCTGTATTATTTCTTCTGAGAATAGTTTAATTTTGTGGAATTCAATTGAATTTCTTATTTTAAATTGTAGCATACCAAACATGACAAATTCATTTGCAAATGGATTCTACTTGGAATTCATTTGCAAATGCATTCTACAACCATAATTCATTTGTTCCAAACGGGCTGTATATTCTTCTGAGAATAGTTCCAAAATTCATATATTTTCAATTAGTTGGGATATATAGGTATGGCTATCGGTTCGGTTTGAATCAGAATTGAACCAGACCAAAAAAGTAAGAAAAAAGAAAAACGGTAAAAAAAGGGAAATTAATCTAAAATTATATTGCTTGATACAAATGGGAGTTTAATATTTTTTCGTTTTAAATTTTTTTGTTTGAAGCATTTTTCAAAATTTTATAATAATTTATTTAATTAATAATATTAGGTAAATTAATTAATTTTATTTCTTTATATGAGTATGAACATTCTAAAAGTTATTTAAAATAAATTTATCAATATTTTTTAAATTTACATTAATTTTTTTGAAAGAAAGAAATAATTTTGGAACTAAATTTTTATTTTTTTTGAAAAAGATAATACACGTATAGTCAAAAACTATAATTGAAACTGTCAGATCATCAGAACTAGCTGGAATCGAAACCGGACTAAAACCAATGGTTCAAGGGCCAATTTAAGTTCAATATTTTAAAAATTTTGAGTCGTGAGTTCCATAAACTAGAACTGGTGGTTTAATGAACCAACCATGTCTAGTAGAGGTGTACTTTGATTACTATGGAATGAAATGACCCTCATTTAAATTCCATTACATATTTTGGAATTTAAAACTTTATCCAATTCCATTCCAAATATTTTTTGAAATTTAAAATTTTATTCTATATTGTTTTATGAAAATTTAGTTTCGAATCTAGTAGTTCTAAATTTTTCAACCATAAACATAAAACTGGTCAATCGTAATATACTAGAACATACAAATTTTTGAATTTAATAAGAAATATTCAGTATATTTATTTAAAATTGAGTATAAATACTAAAAAAATATAATTAAATTATAAAAAACAACAAATTAATATTTCATATAATTAAAAATTGAAGTTCATTAACGAGGAATGAGAATATACCTAGTAGCAGAGCCAGACTTCAAAATTAAAGGGACCCAAGAAAAAATTTCAAAATTAAAGGTGCAGAAATTGAAAAAAAAATATATTTTTACACTATTTTATAAGGGAAATTTTAAAAAATTTTTCAGAGTTTGGGAGAGGCTCCCCCCGTTTCCCTTTCTCCGCCCCTGAATATACCTTCACTTACAACTTTACATTTAATTAATGAAATAACAATAAATGTGGAAAAGAAAAAGTTAGTGCAAACATAAAATAAATACAATAAATGTAAGAAAAATTCCATTTCAATTTGCAATTTTCAATTTGATTTTAATTTTCATATACCAAAATTCCATTTCAAATTGAAATTTGATTCGAAATTTTGATTTGGATTGATATATTTTAAACCAATTTACACCCTATTGTCTAGATATATTTTTAAGAAAAAGTACCATATCTATTTATATTTTTCTCAACAATTTATCATGCACAAATTAAACTTTTGAAAAGTAAGAAAAATAATATAAAAAGATTACAAAATTATATAACAAGTACATATAACGAATACTACGTACAAGTCACATTAAAAAAAAATTAGTTATTCAAAAGAATATAGATAATTTTTTTAATTTGATAAAAGATTAATGTATTCTCTATTAGTAAATCTTATTTTTAATACCTAATATTATTGTCTTTAATGAATTATATTCTTCAAAAAAGAAATGAAAGTATTTTTAAATTTCAAATTATTTTTGGAATGAGATTCCAATTCATATATCACCCAAGAACGCCCTAAGCTTGGGCTGGCCGCGGGCCCCGACAGGTAATTACTAATTTGGTTCAGATAAGGCACCAGATATTGAAGGAAATATCAAATATTAGAGAAAGGCCGTAGTGAGAGTAGTAGATAAGTGAGACAGATATTTTCTTCAAACAAACATAACCCCCTTCCGCCATGGCTGCCAATCTCTCTGCAGCTCCAGATTTTCATCTTTCAATACAAAAATCAGATAAGACAAAGAGACTCATTTTCTTCACTGCACCATTAAGGCAAAGTCATACCAGAAGGAGACTTACCATTTCCTCCAACTCCTTTCAATCTCCTCCAAGAACATCTCAAAATGTCAAAGAATCAGCAAACCCTAAAAAAAACCCTTCTTTATCTGACCAACTCAAGCCTCTCTCTGCAACCACTCTCTCCACCGTCAAAAGCAATCAAACCCAACTCTTATCTAAACCAAAGTCCACTTGGGTTAACCCCACTAGACCCAAAAGGTCCGTGCTTTCCCTTCAAAGGCAGAAGAGATCTCCTTACTCTCTCAATCCTGAAGTTAAAGAGTTAAGGCTTTTTGCACAGAAGCTAAATGAGTGTGATTCTAGTGAATCTGCTTTTGTTTCTCTTCTCGAACAAATCCCTTATCCACCAACTAGAGAAAATGCTCTTCTGATACTTAATAGTTTAAAACCATGGCAAAAGGCTTATCTTTTCTTTAATTGGATCAAGACCCAGAACTTGTTTCCTATGGAAACTATATTCTACAATGTTATCATGAAGTCTTTGAGGTTTGGGAGACAGTTTGAGCTAATTGAGAATCTTGCGTATGAGATGGTAAGCAATAAAATTGAGCTTGACAATATTACATATTCAACTATTATAACTTGTGCTAAAAGGTGTAACTTGTTTGATAAAGCATTGGAGTGGTTTGAGAGAATGTATAAAACTGGTTTAATGCCTGACGAGGTTACATATTCTGCTACTCTAGATGTTTATGCTAAATTGGGTAAGGTTGAGGAGGTTTTGAGTTTGTATGAGAGAGGAGTGGCTAGTGGGTGGAAACCTGACCCTGTTACATTCTCTGTTTTGGCTAGGATGTTTGGTGAAGCGGGGGATTATGATGGCATTAGGTATGTTTTGCAAGAAATGGAATCTTTAGGTGTACAGCCTAATGTGGTTGTGTACAATACATTGTTAGAGGCACTGGGTAAGGCAGGTAAGCCTGGCTTAGCTAGGAGTTTGTTTGAGGAAATGGTCGATTCTGGTCTGACCCCAAATGAGAAAACAATAACTGCAATGGCTAAGATTTATGGTAAGGCTAGGTGGGCAAAGGATGCAATTGAATTGTGGGAACGAATGAGGTTAAATAACTGGCCAATGGATTTCATTTTGTATAATACATTGTTGAGCATGTGTGCAGATCTTGGATTAGAGGAGGAGGCTGAGAGGTTGTTTGAGGATATGAAGGGATCAAAACATTGTAGGCCAGATAGTTGGAGCTACACAGCAATGCTAAATATATATGGTAGTGGAGGAAATGCTATTAAGGCAATGGAGCTGTTTGAAGAGATGTCTGGGTTGGGAATTGATCTTAATGTGATGGGATGCACTTGTTTGATTCAGTGCTTAGGGAAAGCTAAGAGAATTGACGATTTGGTTAAGGTTTTTACTATTTCAGTGGAGAGAGGGGTCAAAACTGATGACAGGCTTTGTGGTTGCTTGCTATCTGTTGTGTCACTATGTGAGGAGAGTGGTGATGCGGACAAGGTAATTACTTGTCTGCAGCAAGCTAATCCAAAGTTGGTTGCATTTGTGAAGTTGATTGAAGAAGAGAAAACTAGCTTTGACACTGTCAAAGAGGATTTTAAAGCTGTTGTCAGTAACACTGCAGTTGAGGCACGAAGACCATTTTGTAACTGTTTGATTGATATATGTCGCAAGAGAAATCTTTATGCCAGAGCTCATGAGCTGCTTTATCTAGGAACCCTTTATGGATTATATCCAGATTTGCATAACAAAACAATAGATGAATGGAGTTTGGATGTTCGCTCATTGTCCATTGGTGCAGCCCATACTGCACTCGAAGAGTGGATGGAGACTTTAACCAAATTCGTCCAGCGTAACGAGGCATTGCCAAAGCTATTTTCAGCTCACACTGGTACAGGAACTCACAAGTTTTCTCAAGGACTAGCCAATGCCTTTGCTTCCCATGTAGATAAGCTTGCTGCACCATTTACAAAGAGTGAAGAAAGAGCTGGTTGTTTTGTGGCAACACGGGAAGATTTAGTAACTTGGGTGCAATCAAGGAGTCCATCTCCTATTACACCGCAAGATATGAGCTAAGCTGTATACCAGATAATTAAAATGTTGAATCTTGTAATTTCAGTTTTGTAACATAAGCAACATAGGAATTGCAAATCTTAATTTTTTTATGATATCACATTCCATCCATTAAATTTGGTGTCCATCTTAACTCAAATCTTCTTCTTCTTCTTCTTCTTCTTCTATTTTTACTTGGGAAAATAGGATATGAAGTCTTTTCCCAAGATAACATGCCGTTTCGTTCGTATTACATATAGGATATTAGTTTGCCTAGCGACAATTTAGGTAGTCATGATAGATTGATAGTATTGCCGTTAAAGAAATGGGAACGAGTCCATGTTCACAGTTTATACTTGTAATGAGATAGCTCTGCATTCGCTGATGGACTCTGTTTAACAACCATATGGATATAAAATGACTGTTATTTTACAAATTCTAAGGTCTAAGCGCGTAGTATCTCCTTTGTTTCATTGAACAGAATCGAATGAAATAAAGAGAATGACTTTTTTTTTTTTTTTTTTTTTTTTTTTTTTTGAACTTCTGTTTAACAACCATATGGATATTAAAAAATGGACTGTTTATTTTACAATTCTTAAGGTCTAAGCGCGTTTAGTATATCTCCTTTGTTTCCATTGAAACAGAATCGAATGATAATAAAGGAGAGGAATGATCCTTTTTTTTTTTTTTTTTTTTTTTTTTTTTTTTTTTACAAACTTCCAGCTTTATGCGTAATTTGGGTTTTTTTTTTTTTTTTTTTTTTTTTTTTTTTACAACTTCCAGCTTATGCGTAATTTGGATAATTGAATAGCACGGAATAAAGAAAAAATAGAATACTTACTTCATGTGAATATTTTTTACTCATTTAAATTTGAATATGAAATAATTGTCATATAATAACAAATTTATAACTTTAATTTTTTTTTAAACTAGTCATGTCTATATGTAACGCTTTAATTTCTGGAATTATGAATAATGATTGACTGGATTGCTAATTGGTACCAAATTGGAGTTTTGGTATAAATTTGAATTCAGAGAAGTTGTCTTCCTAATTGTTGAGTCTTGATTGTGATTCATGCATTACATGTTATTTGTTTGATCTTTCATGCATTAAATGATTTTTGGATTGTGAATTGTGAAATTGTGCCTTAGGAGGCCTAGTTATGAAATTTAATGTAATGTAGTTCTAATTGCACCTAGATATTTGGAATTGGGATTGAAACGGTGTTAAATTGATTTTAGAATATTTCCCTTAAATTGACATGATTTTTCTCTATTTATTGGGCATTAAAATAAATTTGGTATTCAGTATTGATTATTGGGATTTGATTTTTAAATATGATTTATTGATAACTATTATTAGAAGGAATTATTTGTTAAAATATAGTTTTAATTATATTTATTGATATTCTATTGTGAGTATTTTATTAAATAGGTTTTTGTTAAATAAGTGGGGTTATTTAATAATGGGCCATTTTGGAGAATAAAAAAAAAGATTTTAACCTAAACTAAAAGAGTGGTCGACCCCCTCTTTTGACAAGAGAGTGTCGCCCTCTTCACACACACGCACAAGAGAGAAAAGAAAGAGAGAACGAGAAGCTCTTCTTCCATTTATGAGACTTCCACCATTGAAATCTGCAATCAAATAACAAATAGAGAGTTATTAATATTAGAATAGTCAATTGAAACTAGTAGATTAAGGTGCAATTAGGCTGTGATCACAGAAGGCATTCCGTAATCAAGGTAAGCTTCCGTTTTGCAATCCGTATGTTGTTTGCTTATTTGATTATATTTTTGGGCTTAATGTCGTCAGGAGATTTCTCGAATCTCTAATGGTTGCTTTGTTATGTTTCGTTTTTGGATTTCATACTCATCGAGGACGGTGAACCTTTTAAAGTTGATAAGTGCAAAGGGAAGGCCTGAATTTGCAATAGAGTTTACTGTTGCACAATTTTGAGGTTAGTGCTCAACAAGTATTTAATTTGATTTTCTTACATTGATGTTTGTGTGATTGAGATTATGAGAATGTCTTGGGAGTGTTGTGAATTTTGTTATATTTTGGTGTTGTGAGTGAGATATTAATGTTCTTGAGTGTTTCTATTCTTATTTGGCATGTTTGATAGTGGTTTACGTACAAATGTTTGGTTTTGAGATGAAGAATGTGATATGCTATGTTTAACGGCTTTATAGTGGTAAAATTTCATAGCTGGAAAACCCAGATAGCATAGCCATGCTGCTTGTTACGCCCAGCCCGTGCTCATTACTAACCTCTGTGTGTGTGTGCGCTGAAATTGGCTTTCTAGCACGGCCATGCTATTTAGCATGCCCAACCCTTGCTTTCTCCTAACTATTGGTCTGATATGTGCTTTTGTGGCATGACCATGCTGTCTAGCACACCTTGCCCGTGCTCTTTGTTGTCCCTTTTGTGAAATATTATGTTTTGGACCTTCAAATGATGCTTAAACATACTAAATGCATATATGATGTCTATGAGAAAATTTTCTTTAAAACCTTTTCTGAGTGAGGCTAGAAACTCATATGATAACCTAAGCATTGATTAAGTTGTAAACATGACTAAACATATTGATGAAAGGATCTTTATGATGGCTTGATTTATATAAACACGATTAGGGTTTATAGTTGAGTGTTGATGCTTAATTGGGATTTTAAGTCTAAGTGATTTTTGGACATGCAATTGAATGAACTAATGTGTAATTAGATGTCAGAATGAAGCAATTGTATGAACGAACTTAGCAAAGGGAGCATGTACCCCCATGTCCTTAGGTTTTGACCTATGTTTGACTTGAATTATTGGTTGCATGAGTTAAACTTGATGTACGATATTATGCTTGTTTGCATCTAAATTGAGTGGTTGGATAACATACTAGGACTTTGTTATTAAGACATTGACTTGTTTGACTTGAGTACCATTATGGAATGTGATTAAGCTTGAGCTATGTTTGACTATGGTTTGATAATGCCAATTAGGTATGATGTTTTGGGAGCTTAATGCTAAGCACTAGGTACGCTTACGTACTTGACATCTTTAGAAATGTTGATTTGAAATAAGTGTGGCATGATGCGATCTTAATTGAATTACTTGAGCTATTTATCTTACGGACATGAGATTAATACTTGAGCACATGTATGAGAATAAATGTTTTGGATTTATATGAAGCTTATGAGCTTTTATGCATAATGAGTAGGTTGCAATCAAGTACGCTTACTTGTTACATTTGTTGTGTGATATTTGGATTGTGTGATTGGTACTTGGAAATGGAATTAAACTGTATCAATCTAAAAAAACTAATGGGCTCTTACTATGGTCTTGGTTGAGTAGTTGCTAGAATATAGTTATCTGTTTCTAAAAATAAAGCATGCTATAAGATCTGATTTGGATTGCTCTATGATCATAAGCTAGACACGTGGGTGTCTTCAAGACGAGTGGACGCACTCTACTGCCTCTATATCCGAAAGACTTTCAAAGTCTACTGTTAAATGCTAACTAGCCAATATTAGTCTGACTGTTATCAGACACCATTCTGTTATCTGTTCTGCTTCTATTTCTTCTGAGTCACCGTTAAGGCCCAATAATCTAAATTAATGAGTAAGATATTGATAGTACAGTTATATTGGACGGATTATTTGCAACACAAGTTACCTATAGACTAATGTTATGTGATTACACGACATGCAAGGTATTACTGTAAAACTTATATGGTTATATGATATGCAAATTATTTACAGAAACGTTTATATAATTACTTGCACTGTGAGATACTATTATAACATGTAACATGTATACTTATGACACGGATTAGATGCTAAAATAATGTAATATGCTCTTATGTTATGCTTGCCTTTTATAGCAAAGATATTGCGTGATTACTTGAGCAGTAAGTACCTTTGTGTATGTGGAATTATGAATAATGGTGCTTTAGATAACACTGTTATGAGGTTACTTAAACTGCAGGCTATGTGAGTATGTACCTATATGGGTTTGCTCTTATATATTGATTGAACTTGAATATAAATTGATGATTATGAGTGTTTGTATAGAAATATGGAGTGAGAATGTGGACTGTTGTAGCGAATGACATATATATTGAGGATGTGTATGGTTTCAATGGACCATACCTGAATGCTATGTGGTTGCATATAATTGTTGAACACCACTGAGTTTTATACTCAATGCGATGTTTTTTTTTAACTTGCATAGGTTGAAAGTTTTGTTTACTGTGGATCTCGAGTACCTGTATCTAGAGAGAAGATCTTCTCCAAACTTCTCCAGACTAGAATTTGAGTTATACTGCAGACTCGTGGCATGTTTTAGATTTGAAAGAATGAGAGCTTGGATTTACTATGTGGTGCTTTATTTTTTTTTTCCAGTATTTTTATTTTTGTCTCTTGAACTCTTAGAGGATTTCAAATTAGTTGCATAAGGACTTGGACTCTATTTTGAATTAAACTTTTGATACTTTTCTTTTATTAATGTTGGATTTGAGGACGCTTCCTTTTGAGAAGTTGTTTTACTTATATTAAGGACTTCGGAGAATTTTAATCAATACTTTAGAATATTTTAGTAACAGATATATTCTTTTTCTAAGTTGTATTTACAAATGGAACTCTTGCAGTTTTGCTGTGGGGTTTACTAAAACTATTCCGAAAATATTTGATGGATTTCACTACCATTTTGAAAAGATTTAAATTTTTTCGACTTTTATAATTAAATTGTTTTAAGCAGGTCAGGTTACTAAGACTTCTGCTGTACATTTTAAAAGAATTGTAAACTGAGTTTTAATTACTATATTATATTTTCATTTGTTACTAGTCCTGTACTAATAAGTAAGCATGTACGTACCTCTGGCACAGAATGTGACATCTCTTGTCAGGCCTTGTGGGGTCGGAAAGGTGGTGTTACACTATACGTATGGAATGTGTAATTTTTTTTATTATCTTTTTAGTAATTAAAATATAAGAATATTTATCATAGTATCTATTGCATTCAAGTCTTGAAACATAAATTTAATTATTTATATGTGCTAATTGAATTTTAATGTAATTCTAATATTATAATGTTTTAACATGCTATCTTGTTATGTTAAAAAAAAGAAATAGGAGGGAAAAATGCCAGAAACATTTACGGAAAAAACAACTCAAGATTTTTATTACTTTGAAATAATACTAATCATATTATTAATTTCATTAATTATTAAAAAAGACTGAAAAATGTTATTATTTAAAAAATATTAACTATATTAGTCCAAAAAAGATCAACAACATATGATTAATAATGTTAATGACATTAATTTCAACTTTATTAATTTCAACATATAATTGCATAGCTTTGCATCAAAGATGATATTTAACCACAAAAAGAGGAGTTGAAAGGAAAAATCAATTCTTTTGAACCGCATTGGTGGAAATCCACCTCCAAAATTACAGAGCTCATTTGAGACAAGGAAATGTTCGAGTTCAGTATACCCCCACCATATTACAAAGAACCCTCTTCGCCCAGATTTTGGCTCTAAGAACAAAAATAAGGCACCTATAAATAGTCCTATGCAAAATATCTAATAAGAACATTGATTTTAATTTAAAGAAAAAGAAAAAGGAAAAAAAGGAAACAAACAAGAGAAAAAAATGCTTTTTTTTTTTTCTTTTTAATTTCCTAAGGAGCATTTTCTACTAACCGCATATGCAGATTTCCCCCCATTTGGACATCTAGTCAAACTATTCAAGGCTACCTAGCTAGCACTAGTCTCTTGCTAATATCATTTGAATTTGCCCCTGTTAACTGTGTATAGCGCCCAAACATATGTTTTATACAGCCCATGAAAAAATGGGTCACCTGTCTCTGAACTGCTTTGCAGAAGACTCAACTGGAGAATTGAAACTGCATTTCTATCTTTTATAGAGGTTGTCACCAGTTCAGACACAGCAACGTATGAAGATTTCAAAGATACTTTCCTGATGACTTCCAGATTCTACCTTCAAGAGATATCACCATAACGGTAACATCATCATGGTACTTCCGGCGATCTCCTTGTGGAATGTCTAGTAATTCATGGAAATCCATCCCTACATACAGCCCACAGAAGAGTGAAAATCAAGAGGCTAATAAAATCAAATTAACAAAAAATACAGTACAGAGAGATAAACTCGAATGTGCCTGTATTCATCAATCTCATTTGTGCAACATGAATGAGAATATGACAGAACAAAGGTATAACATAGAACAAACAAGGAAATATATTTCATGGTTACTAATAAACGAAGAAACAAATATGACATTGCAAGTAGGGTATCAGATGTCAAAGCCTTTATTAACTTAGGGTTAGCAATACTGGACACAACATGGAAACACATGCTGAATCTAACAAGAAGTGAGAGTTAGGTTTGGTTTAATTATGTTGTTATCAGTTGTGAGATGCAATGTTCTATCAATTCAAGAATAGCAAGATCTTGACATAGAATGCTCTTAAAGAAAACACCAATTATAATACTTCCATATTCAATGTAAATATTTAGAAAAATTAAGTTATCACATATAACTTGATTCAGAATTAAGCAAAGCGAACCAAAAGCAAGATGAAAAATATGGGCACTTGGCAACTAAGAATATAACCGTAAAGGGTAAGACTACGGTAGAAAATAGAAAATTTCTCTATCTATAGAGAAATCTTTACATCCATTAGATTTACATGATATTTATATAAACCGTTGGATTCAATTGTAATAAGAATACTTACTACTTGTAAGTTAGGTTACAATGTATTAACAATATTGTTATTTTTATTTAATATTTTATTATTAAATAAAGTTTTATGAATAAAAAAGTTTTCATTTCATTATTATAAAAAATATATAAATTAAAAAGATTGATTCTCATTTCTAAAAAAATATATTTAATTCTTTATTTCTCTTTAATACTATAAATAAGTTAATCACGCCTTCTCAAAAGAAAAGTAAATAAGCTACCTATAACAAATTTTTTTATTATTATCACTATTAAAATGATATGACCTTAATTAACTACTTCATAATTTAGACTCTCATTTAGTATATGGACAATTTATTTTATGTATTTCTTACTTTTTTATTTGAATTAATTTTCTTTTTTTAAAATTCTCCTTTACGTGATTTTTAACATTATAATATATTTCAAGAACTATAAAATGTGATTAAAATTACTAAACTAAATCTCATCAAAAAATTTTAAAATAAAAAAATAATTTATAGAGAGAAAATGGATCGAAAAATGATAGATTTGTATGAACTAAAAAAAATGATATTTCCAAGAAATAATTAAAAATAAAAATATATTTAAAATTCATGATATATAATATTTTTTTATATATGATATGTGAAGAAGAAAGTTATCTTAAGAAAAAAGCTTCAAAAGAACAAACAAATGCCATATGCAACAAGTTACGTTTACTTGCTATAATAGGTTACTATGCCAAATGGCACAAAAACATAACTTCTCTATCTATACAGAATTCATGAATTTTGTACCATAGTAAAAGCCAACAATAAAATGCATAGAGAAGCCTTTTTAAACCACTTTCCCAAAACACATCAATGCTTTGTGCAAAATCAACCAAATCCTATGTTCTGCAGTGCAAGGAAAAGAAAATTGCAAGTAGCATGCTGCATGCAACATATTGATTAAAATGCACTGAGCATCCCCCATAAAAAAGTATACTTTTTTAATGTATCTTTGTTTTCTTGTTGGCGACAACACTTAACAGATATAAAATTGTCGCACTCCACCTTATTTTTCTGGGCCTAAATTTTTACATATGTAGAGAGTTTGCATTTAATTAGCAGGCTTCTATCAAGCTGAGAAGTAATTCTCTACATCATGTGTGACCCAAGAATATGCAGATCAAGCAATTGAAATAAAATACACACACAAAAAAAAAAAACTTCAGCTTTACCGGCTTTCTTAGCTGCACGGGAAAGAAGCTCCTCTATCAGGTGCTGTGCTGGGTCTCCATCTGGAAACTTCTCCATGAAACTCTCAACATAAGAAACCACTTCGTGATTGGTCAGATACTGATATAATCCATCAGATGATAGGACTAAAAATTGATCTCTTGGACACAGTTGATGATGACAAAGAGAAGGAGTGCAGGATATGTATGGTGCAGTACCAATATACTCATTCCGAAACATCTCCAACAATACATCATTGAATTTGGGCTGCACCAATGCACATGCCGTGTCATCATGTAAATTATTCTGTTCTTTTGCAATACTAAACTATATGCTACATCCTAAAATAAGCTCTACTGTTTAACGAATTCAAGTACTGTCTAAAACTGGTAAAAGCAAATGCAATTTTGTTTAATCATATTATTATTTACATGACTTAGTGCATCCAAGACTCCACTTCCATGGTCACCCTGACTCGTACAATATCAGCGAGCTAACAGCTCATTATTTCTAATTTTTGAAGAGGTGAACATGGGAACGTTGCAAAAAGATAAATTCATAAGTGAATTAGAGAACTTGCACATAACATTACGTGGTCTTCTTGCCAACTCTAGCTTCCCCCTAAAAAGAGGGCAAAAAGTCTGCTTGCTGGAGAAACACCAATTACTACATGTAATGCTATATAGTTTATGAAATTTACTAAATGAACAACATCCCATAACTCATGACATTCAAGTAATTACAGCTTTTAAAAACCAAAGAATGTAGAGTAGTCTGGGTAATAACTCATTGTTCCAAAATTCTAAAATGTCACTAATGCAACTTGGTCTTTATGAATGTGTTTGTGGGATCTTATATGTAATGTCTTTATGAATGTGTTTGTAATTATGTATATTCCTGTCAATTGAGATACATAAAATCCTCATATGCAAGATAACTTCACATTCCTATATTAATTATGGTGCATTTTGTAATTTATTAAATAACAATGTCTTACTGTGCAATGTTTGAAATGAACCATGCACAATGTATCAACTAGAAGGAGACAGTGTGATAGTTAATTTGATGTCAACATCTCCCATTAACATGTCAAATAGGATTTTGCATGAATCATATGTAAATCTGCAATATGCAAAATCTTCACTAAAACAAAGCAGCAGAAGGAACACATTCACAGTGATAGAGCCTTTTTTCCATCAAGCAGAAAGGTCCAATTATAAGATTCTTGAGCTCAAGGGAAGTAAACCTGTTTTAGAAATCCAGCCCCAAATGCTCTAGTGACCTTGAGACGGCCTTTCACTCTATCATTGACAATACATTGGCTGTCATCTGGGTGTTCATTCTTGATTCTTAAGATTTCCTGCATGAAGTGAACAGGAACTTCAATTTCTTAGCATCCATCATTATCATGATAGAAGATGATGAAGGATAAAGAGTTATAAATTTAACATCGATACTAAACTTTATCAATCAAGATAGGAAAACAAAAGCACCCCTGCACATGCACATTACAGAACATTCGAATACCCGTCCCTGTATAGAACACCTACATGTCAAATTCAAGATACAAGGCTTGAAAATAAGGATAGTCCAAGTAAACTTAATACTTCTAGAAAAGACAATTGTAAGATAATCACAGGGTTTCAAATACCATTCTTAAAATCATATTTCAGCAATTCCAAAGGCATGCATGATTCAACGGTATGAATTCCTTTACTAACATAGAAGGTGCAGAAAACCTTAGGATGCGACTTACGACTAGACGTCTAGAATCAGTTATTCCTCAAGCTTTCAGTAAAAGATATTGGATAGCTAAAATCCAAATTCACAAATTCTTTACAATATTAGGCTGTCTAATCTACAATTATAATAAAAATGCAATTAAAATCATCAAAGATTTTCTTCTTATTTACCTATCACCTCAAACAAAGACTTCAAAAGAAAGGTTGGATGTATGTGCACGTGTGTGTGCTATCAAGGAAGAACTGAAAATGCTATCCAATATCACTCTGCGATTAAAAAAACAAAAGTGTTGCTATGAAAAGGAAAGACATCTGATTGGAAGGTGCATGCCATTTTCATACTGGAAAGATGTGTCAGATTTAGGAGTAAATTCATTAAAAAAATACCAAACCATCATGAACCATAAAAGAATTGAATCTAATAGTTCAGCAATCAATAAAGCATGAGAAATTAGGCAACAAATATTGCAAAAGAGGAAAATTAGCCAATAAATGTGCAGAATGCATATTTATCAAGGACAAGCTTCCAGCGTAAAGATATATCACTTCCTCTAAGAGAGAGCACCATCAGAAGTACAATATGCAGGAAGTCAAAATAAGGCAACCACGAGGCAGTTTATTAAAGGACTGTACAAAGTAAAATAAGAAATCACAAATTCTAGATACAAACACTACACAAGGCTTCTTTTCTGAAAGATTCAAACTTGCAGCATAGACCCAACATGATGTGAGGGAGGAATAACCTCGGGGAAATGAATCTTAACCCACAAACAAAAGATTACACCAATCGAGCAATTGAAAACACATGCAATACAAAAAAATTAAATGACGTTGACAAAGGAAGCATCCAATATTTTTTAGCATAACCCAACTACAAAAATGAGACTTAAAAGGAGGTTTTTGTATTTTATCCAACAAGACAGTAACAAAATGACAAAATAGCAAGGAATGGGAAAGGAAGCTTCCTCAGATCTCTTGACCCAACAAGCAATACAAGGAACAGGACTGGTCATGGGACCATTTCATGCTACTTAATTGACACGCAATAAAATCCAGGCATGCTTGTTCAAACAACTGAAACATGACCAAAGGAAGATTTCCACTTCAATAAATTTTCTCTATTTCAACAGTAAGAAGATTTGGTATAACGTCACTTAATTCAACCCATCAAGCTTACTTTTTGAAGAAGGGAAGACTAGGTGATATACCTAACACCGACAAGTCAAAGCAGCAATAAACACCAAAAGAACTAAGAAAGAAACAATGGGGAAAAGCAAAAGATACAGTACTGAAAGTTGGTAATCTGGAATAACTATAAGTCAGGAGTGTTTTTAACGTGTCAAATTTTAGTTCAGGAACTGTAACAACACAAATAAGATGAGAAGGAAAATAAATATGCCCAGGATCAGGACTCGACTTCTAAAAGGTAGAAAGCAAGAACTCAAAAAACAACAACAATCACACTGTAAAATGTCTTATAGCCATAATTTTAAGTGCTTATCACAAGATTTTTTCAGTTGTTAGGAAAGATGCATAAAGGAATGTCTTCAATCTTTAATCATAAGCCATACTGTCAAACAATTGATGGAACTTGAAATAATTAAAATAAGGGTGGAAAAGAAATCAAACGCAGAACCAGAAAGGGACCCCTTCCTCAAGTTTTCAATCTAACACTAGGCATATCAGTTAAAGTTCAAACAGAAACATTGACATCAATTCAGATACAGAAGAAAATCAGTGAAACGATGAGAAAAATGCATATGATTCTTGTAGAGTATAAACAGCAGCACAGTATTTACTTGATGAAATAATGGGACTTAAAGCTTGGCATATTTCCAGTGCAAAACTAGCTGAAGCTTAGAATAGCAAATGTAACTAAAATATCAAGGAGCACTTACATGAATTGTCAAGTTCAGTATTCTCCGAGTGATACAAACATTAATCATTATTCAATGCAAAACAGATAACAAATCCAGGCCAAGCAAGAAGCATCACATTTCCTACCAATATCTAGTTGGACAGACATCAAGTTCAACTACGTAATCACATCCAACCACTATTAATAAACCTTGATATTGATAAGCTGGAGCTATTTAAAACATACTACCAACATACGAAGTAAAGAGTAATTATTGATGGATTATGGAAAACTTACTTCTTCAATGCTCGTGCTGTGATCGGTGGACAGCTGCAATGCAGTCAGCCTCATCACTTGAGCAGGACCCTCTGCTACGCCCTCCATACTCAACCCATTATCATCCACACTAGAGCCAGCCTCTTGTGGTTCATACTGCGCAACAATTGCCCTGCTATCACCCACATTCATGACATATACATCCTCATCCCTCATCAACACCACCAATAAACATGAACCCATCAATGCTAACTCTGGATTTGTATCTAGCACCTTATCAGTCATATCCAAGTATGCTACTTCAGTCACTTCTAGCGCTCTTGATAAAGCCCTTAGAACCAGTTTATGGTCCACTGGTCCCACCTTCCGCTTCCTCTTCAAAACCCTCTCCTCCACTCTGCTACTTTCCACCTTCTCCTCTTTCCCCTCCAATCCAAATTTCCATGGAAACAATTTCTTTTCCCTATGTTTTGATAATCCTTGTTTCAGTTTTGAAAGCAATAACCACCTTCTATTAACAGCAGATCCTGCATTGCTAACGCTAATTGCATCATCAACAGAAAATGCAAATCTATCGGACCCTGAAAGATCAAGCCCGTCTTCTGCATCCTCCTCGGCAAGAAATTCCCACAACCGCCTTCTCTGTGTAATCTCTATTCCCTCTGACTGAAATGTAACCTTTTTAACCCTTTCATGGGCCGCCAAGCTTGATTCCGTCCCGCCAATTAAACCACCCCCGCCATTTCCAACACCCGTTTCCTTTGATAGGATAGCTGCAGCTATATTATCTTGATCCTGAGGCAATAAATTCAATCCTGTATCACCGATTGAACTCTTTTCAACACTTGTACCATTCTTTTCTAGTGATGAGCCGGTTGTATTGTCATTCTCCACAACAGTTGTTGATTCTATATTACTCGTCTCTTCAGCCTCTTCAACGTCCCAAAATAATCCTTGAAGTTCGTTATACACAGCCCTGTAGAGATTTCCCATCAAGAATTCGGGCGCATCAGGGCCGTTAAACCCATCATAAATCCCAACAAACAACCACCCTTGCTCCTCTGATACGACCACATGGACCCGATCCTCTCCCGCCTTTCCTAACGCCCACTGCACATTACTCTCATCTCTGCTCTCCCTCTCCTCTGCGGTTCCCGAATTTTCCTTCCGGTTCACGAAATTCAGTACCGGCACCACCCACGGCCGTTTCTTTTCCGATAAGTTCCTATATATGGCCTTCTTGATACCAGAAATGCCCTTCCTCCGCTTCTTTTTCACATAAATACCACCAAGCGGTGCGGAGAAGTGTACTCTTCCGCTATTGTCGGTCCCGAAGTTGGCGTCAAGTGGACCGGAGAGTGCACCGCGCTCGATGGGACCAGACATGAAGAACCCCTCGCCACCACGTGGCACCGGTTGCAAGCGCAACGCGCTAAACGACGCGGTGCTCTCAAATCCATCAACGTTCACAATACTGCTCCTTACTCCACCACCAGTACAAACACCAGCAGCAAAGCCAGAGCTACTGTCAATGGCATCGTCGTAAATATTATCAAGTTGGAGGACAGTTCTGGGCGTCGAAGTGTTAGCACTGACCGAAGCACCAGAAATGGACTTAAACCCTCCTGTCTCAGGCAAACCGGGTCGGGTCTCAGAACCGGTTCCAGCCCGAGAAGGAGAAAAACGAAGAGAGCTAGAAGGAGAAACAAAACGATCAGAAGGAGTAGGAGAGACGAAGCGGTTGGAAGATCGGACGTAGGCAAAAGAGTGGCCTAGGGTTTCATCCAACGGTTCAGAGGCAGTGAAGATCAGGTCCGGTTGGTCCTGTTGGGTACGGTTAGTCGCCGGTTTGAAGCAAGGGAAGAGAGAGGAGAGTCCACTTCCCATCACATTTGATTCGCCACCTTCTGTTTGGACGCCAAGAAAACGAAAGAAAAAAAAAAACCAACTTTTCCTTCCCTTTCCTTTCTCTCTTTTGAAATGAAGTTCCGGCAAAGTTTTTGACGAGAAGCAGCTATTAAAAATATTTAAACAAATAAAAAAATAAAAAAATATATAAAAGCAAAAGTAGCTATCAACAAAGAAAGCGAAAGTAAAGAGAGAGAGAGCGCGAAGACTTTCTTTCGTTTTAGAGAGAGAAAGTGTTTTTAGTTGAGTTTCTCTCTCTAGATTTTGTTTTCTTGTAATTTGAATTTTGGTTTTCTGTTGTTGGGTGTAGTTGTTGGTTCTTAGTTGACGGTTACACCTGGCATTTAGCAAATCCTTAATAACCTGTTTTTTACTTATTTTAATAATCATAATAAGTGTTATGGGGTCTACGTTAAAGAGCCAGCAGATACTTGTGGGGTCTACTTCAATTGCCAAGTGGACATTTGCTGGGGGCCACGTTTGGATGCCAAGACTGTGATTCACTTACGGTTTGACAATTTTGGGGCCATACTTTTTTTTGAATGACGATGGAGTCCCCATTGCTTGTATCTTTTTTAGGGAAAGTTGGCTCTAGTCAACGTGGAAACCCGAGGTTGGATTAGTGGTCGGGGATCCTTTTGTCTTTTTATACTATTTTCGAGTATTGTTTTTAAATTGTGTGGTTCCATATATTCACATTTCATTGTAATTTTAGGCTAATCCTGATAAAATTTTCATTTTATTTACTTATTATTTCTTTATTGAATATCTCAAAATATTTGAAAATTTTTTAAATTTAAACATATAAATAATTATTCTTTTCATAATAACCTTTATAATTATTTATTGAATAAAGGATTTTTAGTATATTAATAAGTTATTAATGGTAAATAACAGCAAAATGACATTTATTGACTAAATTTTTAATATGAGTGTTTTGTCAAACCATGAAAACAAATGGGACGGAGAGAGTATTATTTTCTAAGTTCCATAAAAATATTAAATGACAAAAATTACTGGTGCATCCCTAATATACTAGTCGTAGTCATGTACTCGCACGTTACGCGGTTGTTAGGAATTAAAAAAAAAATTATAAATTCACTATTTCATTCTTAAATATTGATGTAAGTTTTAAATGTATTAATTAAATTTCAGAGCGCTTAGAAATCTATAATTTATTTAATGTTAGAAAGTTTAGATGAGTAAATAGTTTAGCATACTATTTTTGTCACAATCTAAGTATCAAAGAGAATAGGTATATGAGAAAAAGCAGTCATTGGAAAAAAAAAAATCCTGAAATTAAAATAATATTAAGGTTATTATTTAATAATATTATTAATTGCATTATTAGCTTTATGAGTTAAAAAGAATTTAATTGTGTTATTTATTTTATTAATTATTGAAAAAAACCAGAACAACATACCATTAATGTTTTTTAAAATATTAATTTTAACTCTATTAATGTTTAAACCAAAAGAAAGAAAAATAGGGAAAAAATAGTGTCAAATCAGCACTTTAAAACTCTAATTTCGTGACATATTTGTTTTTAAGTTTCTGTTTTTATGTATTTATATAGATAGATTGCAATACTTATATATTAAACTAATAATTAATTTTGATTATTATTACTTCCTCTGGTCTTTTTATGTAGGAACAAGTAAATTTTATTTTTTCTTTTTTTTCCTTAATTTATCCGTAAAATCTCATTAATTCCCCCCAATGCCAACGTATGTCTTAAATTACGTTTCAATCTCAAACAAGGCTTTAAATGCTTTGTTGGAATGAATGAAATACAAAATGGTACAAAAAAAAATGAAGTTTTTCCTCTGACCTTTGGAGGGAATTTTTTTTTTTTGTCCTTGTTTGGACAAAATGTGTGAAATATGAAAATTCTTACTTATTTAACATTCCAACTGTCTTTAGTTTTTGAAACATATTTTAAATATGACACAATTTTAGTGAAGTCCGTAAGGATTTCTTTTGTAGATGCTCAAATTTTGCCCCTAAAAGGTTTGGTGATAATATATCATTTTTTACATAAATTTGGATCGGGATTCCCGATCGCTCCGATTTTCGAACCAATTGTCCGTGGTTGAGATTATATATGTATTTAATCATTTTTACTTTTTCGGGTTACCAGATATTTCACAACGAAACCAGGTTCGAGAAGCGCGACGGACCTGCCCTGTGCACTTCCTGGTGCACTACATCGTTTTACGTAGCACCCGATCCGATTTGATAAAAATGAGCTTGGTCCTGTTGACGCGTAATTTTATGCCCCACCTGACCCGATGATGATATGAGGATAAGGAACAAGGCATCACGATCAACCAGAAGTGTTTTCTTTATATTTTTATCCGATAAATCTCCATTAAATTTCCTGGCCCAATGCCAACGGTAGTGTCTTTAAATGTACGTTATCAATCTCTAAACCAAGAGCTTTTCACATTTGCTATTGTTTTTTGGAATGGGATGAATACAAACTGCGTAACAAAAAAAAAATGAGTTTTTCCTCACTGACCTTTTGGAAGGGAATTTTTTTTTTTTGTCTTGTTTTGGACAAAATGTGTGAATATGGAAAATTCCTTACTTATTTAACATTACAACTGTCTTTAAGTTTTTGAAAAGCATATTTTAAATATGAACACAATTTTTAAGTGAGTCCGTAAGGATTTTCTTTTGTAGATGCTCAAGAATTTGCGCCCCTAAAAGGTTTGGTGGATAATTTATACTCATTTTTTACATAAATTTGGATCGGGATTTCCCGATCGCTCCGATTTTCGAACAATTGTCCGTCGTGTTGAAATAGTACTATGTATTTAATCATCTCTTTACTTTTCTCGGGTTACCAGAATATTTCACAACGACCTTAGTTCGAGAAGCGCGACGGACGCGGCCCGTGCACTTCCCTGGTGCCTCTACTCGTTTTACGTAAGCACCACGATCCGATTTGATAAAAAATGAGCTTGGTCTGTTTGACGCGTATTTTATGGGCCCCACCTGACCCGATGATTGATATGGAGGATCTAGGAACAAGGCAATCACGAATCAACCAGAAGTGTTTGATAACCAAAATTTTGAAATCAAATTCGCCCAGAGGAGCCTGACCCGCGTTATAGTGGTCTGCGTCACGCAAAGCTAATTACCTGCGTGACAGCACTCTAACCGCGTCACGCAGCTCTATACAGGGCTTGACACCTCTGGCGGGCGCCCGTGTAACGGCCTGCAATTGTTTGTATGGGATACAGCGCGGGCAACTGTACCGAAAAAATTTAAGTCGCGTCAGACGCAGCTATACGGGTACGTCATGCAGCTAAACTACTTTTGCGTGATTTCACGCGACCTGATCACTCTGTTGCCTTAAGCCATAATAAATATTCATTTACTTTATTTGCAGACAAATTAACCCCGGGACTTCGGGACACTTTGCTTCTACATGTCCCAATCTAAGGAAAGATCGATTCTGAGTTTAAGTTTTAGGTTAACGCTAGCAGCTTTCTTTACGCGGTAAGAATTCAAACCTGAGTAAATACTTGCCGGGAAGAATCGAAGTCATATGATATTTTTAAGATATCAAAAATAAACAAAAAATAACAAAAAGGAATAGTAGGAGATAAAGAGAAGCTATCAAGAAAGAAAAAAGAAATACGATCTACTCTTTTTGTGAAAGGACTTGGGGTGAATAATCACTCGTGGGTAACCACGTGAAACAACGACCTCTTGAGTTAATCTCAGCCGCATGCAATCCTCTTAATTCCTGAGGGCCTTAGTAATAAGATCTAAAACTTTAATTTATTCTAGTATTTTTATCTCTTTAAAATCTCATCTTTCACTACGTGTCTGTACATTGACCTGGATAATTAATACAACGATGGTGAAATTTTGCCCCACTGTTTGAACTCTCCTGGATTTGATTTTAATCTCTTTTGAACAAAAAGAACCCACGTAAAAAAGAGTAGTTGTTGTAAAGGTTAGTTTGCGGACCAGAGCCAAGACCGCGTCACGCAGACTACTACCTGCGTGACGCGACTGTTGATGTCCAAAAGCCCTTAGCCTGGATTGGACCACCTGCGTAGACGAACGCTATAGATTAACGCGTATTAATGTACTCAAACTTCTATTTTTGTTTCTAATACAATTTTACTTAATGGTTTCGCTGTAAATAAATAATTAACATGTCTGAGTAATTTTTTTAATAAGTCACAGGTAAGCAGTTACCATCTTAAGTAGCTTAGGAGGGTTTCCGCTCACGCGAGTGTTTCTTTCATAGAACAGCCGACTGCGTGACGACGACTGGTTGCTTCATAGAACAGCTGCGTGACGGCGACTAATTATAAGTTCTAGAATAAATTAGATAAAGAGCTGCGCCACGCGAGTCTGTTCTTCCATAGAAAACAGCCGCGTGACGCGACTGTCTTCCCAGTCCTCAGATTACTTTTATTAATTTTGTCCTTAATTTTCAATTCATTAAATAAATTTGCTAATCTTAATCCCGGAAAAACGATGCAATATTGGCCAAATCGAGTTTTTTAATCAAACAAGTTTCAATTAATTTGTTGTATTATGGTAATTTTGAGATTTAATATTTGTTATTTCCTTTTAATTATGTTATTAAATTCGGTTTGGTGGCTAGCGCTTTAACCATAAGGCAAGAGCGGGGTCTTTTTAATCATTGTTTGCATATATATGGTGTGGATGAATGGATGGATTGTGATCGCGTTACACTGGTTATTGAAATAGAAATGTCATGAATGGATTTTAACTTGGGACCCGGTTAACTAATTTATTCACACTTATTAAGCTTCTGCTTTCGATTCATAATTCTGGTGTTGTTGGTTTTAGAATATTGCTTTTCTAAAAATAAATCACAATTGAAATCGTAGGTTTATTCTATTAAAGAGTTGTTCGGATTTTTCTTGGGCGTGTCGCGGTATTACACATTTATGGAGGGCTTCGAGCTTGTAGGCGGTTACTAATATCCGGCTACCCATGAACCTTATTGGTTCGCCCGACCAGTTTTTTCTTAATAATAAGCCTAGGAAAATAAATTGGGGTTAAATGAAGTTCTACTTTATAAAATAAATTGGAAAACTGGTGGCATGTGCCACAGAGAGTTATGAATAAGGGTGGCGACTCCAAATGTTTGATAGGAGAGGCTGATTTTATCGGCATCGCATATCCAAAAAAGATTTTTCATCCCTTTTTCCCAAAACAATAAACAATGTAACAATACTAAATGATGGCTTTTTTCCGGATCCTCCG